GCCAAGAAATGCTCCTACGTGAATGTAACACATTTCTACTATAGCACCAATTATTTTTTCACCACAGGAAATGGACAAAATCTACACTAAAATTCTGGGGTGGGGAAAGGAGAACAAACAGTGTGACAAGCCTGAAAGATCACATACATGCACCACACAAGTAAGCTGCAATTTTGCCCAATAATCAGTTTTATTTGACATCATCCTTGTGTCACCACCTCCAAGTAGGTGATTTCCTGTTGGCCTTTTACACATAACAAAAAATACTGTTAAACATTTCCATTGCTTGCAGTGAGTAATGGTACTGTTTGTATGTCCAATACTTCCATTCTAATGTCTCATACTGGGACAAATGAGAAGTGCTTTAAACTACAACTGAGGCATTTATTTTTTGCCTTAACCTTTTCCTGACAACAGTCAGGGGATCTCCATGTTCATCAGAATGATTTAAATCTGCAGTGTACCACACCACCCGCCCTGCCCCGGTGGTGTGCTCAACACCTGCCATTTCTGAGCGCTGCTTGAAGTGTTATTTCCAAAAATAATTACATGGTTGACATCGTTATGTGGCCCTCTGTTTGTGCGAGGTAAGGTGGAATACTGTGCTTCCGAAATAGCACAAAGTATTATTAAAGTACAACATTAGCTAATAAATGTGTGTGTTAGAAACTGCTAAAGTACATTTTAAAAGTATAGTTGGATATTTTTGCTTGTTTACCTCAGAAAGCATTCACATAGAAGTCCTGTGTAGCTCCTGTTCTGAGGTTAGCACAGGAAACTGCCTTCTTTGAATAAGGAAAAATAGTTTCAGAAGGCTACAAAATTGCCTGTTTACTTTATCTACTCCAAAAAAGAGAGCAAAGAATGTTTTTCACATCACATGTTCAAACACACAAATAACATAGTTACAAACAGAAATACCAAAAAAAGGAAAAGGTGTGGGAGGAGTAGGAAAGCAGAGGTTTCTCCCGCCATGAATATCGTTAAACAAAAGACTGATTAGAAAAACTAACTGAAGCATAAAGGCAACAAAACTGAAAGAAATAATATTTCAAATTCCATGAGGCAGCATCATTTCTTAGGAGACAGACTCATAAAGAAATGGAAACACATTTAAACCTCCTAGCATTATTCTTTTAGGCCATGATTCTAGATAAACTTACAAGAGAGTTATACCGTAATCAGTACATATCTACTCAGAAGTAAGCCCTGCAGAATTCAGGAGAGTATTTCAGGGAGCACAAACTATAGCAGGTTCCCCGACCAAGACCATGGGCATTCATATGATCCTAGGAGGGAGAATTTGGGCTTGGCCTCACAGCTTCTCCAGATTCTCAGCTGCAGTGGAAGTCACCTCCATCATTCTTCCTGCCCTGTCTACCTCTTGCCAGCAGGACACAGAGGACACAACCATAGGATTGTGCTCTGAGTCAGCCTTTCCCAACCTCCAGATGTTTCAGACATCAACTGCTATCGACTCCAGTTGCACAGTCAATGGTTAAGAATGGTTGGGGTTGTAGTTCAAAATATCTAGGAAGTAGGTTGGAGAAGGCTGGCCTGAGTGACCAGATAAGTAATCCTAATTCTGAGAATAGCACTATTTTATACTGAATTATGGTTGAGCACTCATTTAGGTTGGGTTTTTATTTTTCCCCTAGATCCAATGTAATAGAAAATGATATAATGGATCCACTGCATAGGTGGACATGCAATGGACATTACACCATGTTAACAACCCAGTTCAGACTTCTCACTCTGATAGGCAAATCATGATTGGTCCTCCCTAGCACATTATGGCTATGTGATTACACTTTTTTTGCCAAGTGAATTGCCACTTACTGTAGTTTACTGTGACATACCCAACCACAGTTGTTGCTAAGCACAATCTGCTCTCAAAGCAGAGACTGAATCTAGGGACTCATTTCTTATTTTATCAAACTATGGTCACTGTCAATTGGTTCAGATGCCATAGTAAAGCAGAGCAATTGCTAAATATGAAAGCGAGGGGGATGGAATGCCAATACTCTTGCATACATAATTTGAATAAGGTATCTGAAACAGGTCACTGTGATTTTTGGAAGCAAAGCTATACTGTTGCAGCTAATTCCCTGGTGTTGTACATTCCTGATCATTAGTTTGCTATAGTATGCATTAATTGCCAGATGTAAAACTCTCTCACTTTCTCTGCTAAATTCCATTGCAAAAATAAAAAATAAAAAACAAAACAAACATGAATGTCAAGAAAAATCCAGATTTGAGCTTGCAGCATAGTTAATTAAGCTGAATTTGTTTCATTTTCTTCCTCTCTCCCCCTATCATATGCTTTCATACAGTTAGTTAATTCCTCTCTTCCACAAGCAATAGGAATATATTCAGACAAATACCTGTGAAAAGGAGCTGATAACCATTCAGGGTAATGACCCTTCTCAGAGCCTCAGGTAGTAGCATACAGTGATTCACAGACAGTCCTCCCTCACATAAAACAGCAAGTAAAATAACAAGGGCCTGATGACACTGTGATCAGAGCCTGCAACAAGCCTAGACAGCAATTCTGTCCTCATATCTACTTTGGAAACATGATTGTAAGTCCTAATAATGTCACTCACAATAGTAGCAATTAATTCACTTGATCACCTTCTAATGTGTCATATGTCATCTACTGTCAGCAATGCCCTTCTGCACATAGGCAAACAGGTCTTTCTCTACAGAAACGAATCGATGAACACAAAACTGTTAGCAGAAATAGCCATATTGAAAGGCTACTAGCAAAACACTGCACTGTTCTGGGGCACTCTGATGTTATTGTGTATCATTGTCTCTGTATGATGACCCTATGAATTAAAGCTCTCCAAAATGTCCTGACAGTCCTACTTAGTTGTTCTAAATTCAAGGCTATGGATTCCTTTATGAAGTCAATACATCTCATTGTTTCCCTCTTCTGCCTTTCATTTTCCCTAGCATGATTGTCTCTTTCAGCGAATCTTGCCATCTCATGATGTTTCCAAACTATGACAGCCTCAGTTTGTCATTTTTTCTTCTAGGAAGGGTTTTGGCTTGATCAAGGATCCACTTCTTTGGCTTTCTGTTGATCCAGGGTATTCACAAAGCTCTCCTCCAGCACCATGTTTTAAACACATCCATTTTCTTCCCATCAGTTTTCTTCATTGTCCAACTTTCACATGAATGATCTTGGCCTTGGTCAGTGAAACATCCTTATAGTTGAGGATCTTTCAAGTTCCTTCATTGCTGACCTTCCAAGTCTCAATCTTCTTTGTACTTCTTGGCTGCAGTATCCCTTTGAATTGATGACTGTGCAGAGGTATGTAAAATCATTCACAAGGAACACTCTGCTAGTGTTCTTAAACTTTAACAGAAGATTAGTGTGAGACACAGCTGAGCATTTATCTACAAATTAACTTCTAACACCTGAGACAAGAATTGGAATAAAGGGTTATCCTGCTACATGAGTGAACTGGCATTCCAAATGCCATCTTCATATTAACTGTATGGTGAAGGACTACTGTTAAGAATGTGACTGTCAACTGTCATTGCTTTCTGCATTTAATTTCCTTCTGACATAGTTTTACCACTCTTCTCCACTCCCATGTACTCCAAAAATCCTGGAAAACCTCAGTAACACTCCATGCATCTGATGAAGTAGGCTACAGTGCATGAAAGCTTATGCCAAAACAAATTTGTTAGTTTTTAAGGTGCCACAAGTCTCTGTTTTTGCTACAATAAACCAACACAAGCCTCTGGGGATTCTATAATGGTCATCCACGAAATAATTTCATAGGTAACTCATACCTCTGTTGACTCCTAAAACCTGCCCATGGTACCTTCCAAGTGCATTTTGTATTAATACCTGATGCCTCTATACGAATAACTCTCCAAAATCAAGTTGATAACTCTAGCTATCAAGAAAGCATGAAGACAATTGAAATTACAAAATTTCCACATTCAGTGATTCGATGTTTATGTTTTAATTATTTGGGGTGCCTAAAGGTGTTAAAAAACATAATCTGTCAAAGCAGACTAGCTCTGTAATCCAGCAAATCTCCTGTAGTGCAAAGTTTTAGTGCTGGTTTTAATTAAACCAACTTCCGCTCAATCTATTTAGGGCTGCGGTGCAGAACAGAATTATAGGTTGCCATCTGCTGGCTAAAACTTGCCAGTAAAATAATGATGAAATCCATCCTTGGTAGACAGACATCTCCCAGAGGAACACAGACAGGGTCATTCTGTGTCTTTCCTGCAGCACCTCACATATGCAATTGGCCTGGAAAGTATGAGGATGCTCAGATTTGGAGCAGTCAGAGTAAATTTAGGAGATACAAGGACAGCGGTGGGGTGGGATCAAAGAGAAAGTTCTGCTGTACTAATAGAAGCAAAATTGGCTTTCACTCTTAATAAAGTATATTCTGCTACAATATTTCAAGTTCTGGCCCATTCAAGCTTCAGAACTGCTAGAGTGAGGCTTTATTTAAGGTTGGAATAGGCACACACCGACTTTGGTCCTTACAACATAGACAGGTAGCATTCATGTTCTACAGGTTTCCCACAAGAGCTCACTGGTCACTATGTGAACAAAATGGTGGACTAGATGAACCCTTGGCCTGAGCCAGTGTGGCTCTTATGTTTTTAAATTGTTCCATGTGAGTAAAAAAGAGATCCAGGAAGAATCCTGTACCTTGTTCATGAATCTGTGTGATATAGATGCAGGAATTTTCTTGCATCACCTCACAGCCTTCCTCAGAAACATCTCCTTAAGTTGGCAATTCCACTACAGTCTAGACATAAATATGAATACATTAACAAACTGTACATCAAATCCCAAGGGGTTTTGCAGAAATGCATGCCACACACTTAGATCTGGCCATTCAAGCATTTCAAGGAAATGTGTCTTTTGCCATTTATGACCTCTTTTCCATAAGCATTTTTGAATACACAAAGAAATTATTTGTTGGAATCAGACATCTGCTTTAGCAATCCCAGTGATCTGCTTGTTCCCAAAATGAATTTTAGTGGAATTAGTCACAATATCAATGGCTCACAAAATACATTATTTTAAGTTAACTGTATCACTGTCTGGGGCTTGAAACAGCTTCTAGTTCCTAACCACAACGAACACTGTGAGCTAATAAAGTAATACTTTAAAATGTATTTATTTGAATGCAGTATGAAGAACCCAAGTCTATAGCATATACCATGTAGATTTTATCTTAACACAATTGGTGTCAGACATAAGCATTATGATAGAAATGTTTCAACATTTGGAAATTGATGCAACTATCACTATTTACATGCCTTTCCCATAAGAGCTCTGTCCAATGGGTGAGCTACTTACTCCTCTTAGAGGTGAGTTGCTCAGATACTCCTTTTCAGCTGTACTCCTGAAAACACCTACCTAGGGCCAAACTAGACAGTCCAATGGATTGACTAATAGGAAATTAGTTCACTTGGCTTTACACTTTTACAAATAGCCAGAGGTGGGTGGACAGGACCGGATCGCAATGCAGGGCAGCAATTGTTTAAAATTTTTAAAGAAAAAAAAAAATCACCTTCTCAATTTCATTCTGCAGTATGTATGAAGAGAGATAACCTGTTACAAGTGTCTCAATGTTGTGTACTTATGTGAAAGCTGAGTCAGCTCACATTAAAAACCTAGCTCTGGTGCTCCTGTAGCAGGAGCTCCTTTGTACATACAGATAAGTAGTATAAAAAAAGGAAATACCCCAGGTTTTCTCCAGGTCCTACTGAAACCTGGAGCCTTCCTAACCCAGTAAAATCAGAATGTGGGTAGCTTTTTTTCTCAAGGACAGCAACCAGTTCAAAACCATTTTAAAGCGGAGTGACAAATGAAAACAAAGAGAGAAGCACAGATTCTTCTCTATGGTATCAAATATCAATGTCACTTCACTGCTTACATACATGCAACCCTATTGATTTACCTCTTTCTTCCAACACGCATTCCATCATTTGACACTTAAGCAGTTGTTTAAAACCAACTTAATAAAAAGGATTTCAATTTATAGTAACAAACAATATAATCAAAATTAGTTAACCCCACCCCACAACCCAGGCTCTCTGTAACATGGAGACTTAAATATCTCAGGCTGATAGGAACCAAAATTACCATACAACTAAATGGGCGTAAGTCTCACTGAAATGAGTGGAAATCACTCCTCATAATTTATAGTACATTATGGTTACTGTCAGCCAATAACTGGGGAACATTTCTAAAGAATAGTGGTGCAATTCAATACTGTGGAAATGGGTCTTTACGCAACTTCAGGTATAATCCTATCTATGCTTAGATAAAAAGTGTCCTTTAATTCCCAGCATTCCCCAGAAAGTCACAGGGAGTTGTAGAAATTTCTTTTGTCTAAACATGCACAGCTGTAATCACATCCTTACAAGTCACTGGACTGTATCCAATCACCTCTGTGAACCTGCAGGAGCAACCACTCACACAGAAAGCTTTTATGGTTCTAATGATGTAAAATGAGTAGAAATACACATTTCTGGAACAAGTCAGGCCAATGGAGCTCACAGAAGAAAGCTCTGCTGCCCTGTCCTAATGTGGAAATGCCTATTTTCAGGTTTATTTTTAGAAGTGCCAAAGAAGTAGCACAATGGAACCAGCAGAAGAATAGTGACCCAATTAGATCCTGCCCATTTTTTGGACATGGCTTCTAAAACATGTGGGCAATAAATCTGAATTGTATCCACCTAATATATTTCCACTTTTGGGTTTGCACAGGAGTACTGGTAAGTTTCATAGTCCAGAAACATAGTCATTAGCAGGCTTAGAAACTCCTATAAAAAGAGGAACTCTTCTGCAGTCCCTGACTTCAGCAACTGATCCCTCTTAGGGCCTGTGATAATTTCGGCATCTGTTTGGAGCACCAACAGCACCACATCTAGGGCTCTACGCCATGCTTCCACCTTAGCTGTAACATTGTCACACACTTTCAGAGACTTCTCATACATCCTAACATATTCAACACTTTCTACTCCCATCTTCCCCTTTTTAAATGCATCCAGTATGTAGGCTGATGGTGAACCATGCAGTTCTGCTTTTCTGAGATGTTGCTGAATGAAGGTGCTGGCTTCAAACTCTGATTCATAGTCTGCAGTGTTACACAAAACAGTACAAAGATACTGATGCCAGCCATGTGCCAAAGCATTAAGCACAAGTGGCCTATATAGCTCTGAAGATGTTGCAAACCAAGAGGAGCCAGCAGGAAATGCATCAGAAGAATGTTTGGCTGTTTTACCTAGGCTCTCAAGAGAGCTGAGACACAGGAACTCAGCTGCACCACCTCCTGGAAAGACTGCTTGATCCAGAAGGGCATGATGCACACGATAAGCACAAGTCCAAAAACAATCTTCAGTAGCTTCCATCTTGGACATAACCGGACAGCTAAGTACAACTGTTACTAGGCGAATTCCATCTGCCATTAAAGCAACTGGCATTTGGCCATCCAATTCCACGCAACTGAGTTCCAGAGTTCCATAGAGGTTCATACAGACACCCTTGCCAATACAATGCTCATTAATTTGAGTGAGGTAAGTCACTCTTGCTGCTCCTGTAATTTCACTAAAAGCCCTCAGAACAGACTGAGCTACCTGAGTGATTACCACTATGTTATTCAGCAGACATCTTTGTTCTAAATTTTTGCATATGTTGCCTTGGACCAAAACTAAATTTACACCAGACTGAACCAGAATATCTAACATAGAGTCAAGCCATGAGCCTGAGCTGTTCCCTAGGTAAGATGTGCTTTCTAAACATGTTCTCACATTCTGTGACCTGTTAAACCCCAAATGACGATAGGTTTCAGTTAGGTCACCATCTGCAAGAACAACTCGAAGGGACCTATTCTGAAACTGCTTAACAGCAGCAGCTTTCTCTGGGCATACCAAAGTGATATACCCAGGATGAACACAAGAATGACTTTCTGACATGCCTGGTAAGCAGCATGTCACAATTTCTGAAATGTTAAATTGGAATGGATGATTTTTAGCCACTTTGTCAGAAGACTGCAGCTGAAAATGGAGAACATCCTGTACCAGTTTCATGGGAGGCCAGCTTCCATGGCTAAGAGACATTGCCAACTGTGCGAAATCATTGAGCCTGTCAGAATATTTTGTGCATTTACCCAGCTGATCTGTCTCTTTCAGTGAATAACTTTTTCTTTCATTACTAAAGTACCTACTGTAGGTTATTTTTGATCCTCTGTTATGGTTTGCTGTAGCCAAGTGAGGGTTTTTCAAACTGCAGTTTTTATGAATAATTGTGTTACAACCAGTAAAAACACAACCAGTGTTTGCTGATTCAGTCTGCAAACACTCTGTGCTGCAGGTAGTAAACACCCCTGGATGTATATGCTTTACCCCCAAATTGCATGCATTTTCTTGCTGGGTGGTAGGGCCTTCTAGTTTTTCTTCTGATTCTTGTCCATATTCATAAGGATATTCGAGTAGACTTAATATCCTGTTACCTTGGTTTTTAATTTCATTAATGTGCCTTCTAGCTGTACAAGAAGTGATGTTAACAGGAACACTGTCTATAGGAACAGCATCTAATGTTTGCTGTACAGTGTCTAATGATAATGTAATGCTCTGCACTTGTTCAATGCAAGTGTTCAGACCTTCAGACAGTACAGGTACTATTACTGAAAGGGGAATATCCTGCTGAAGGCATTCAAGCACAGCCTTGCTCCAAGTGCTCACAAGAAACAACAGAGTAGTTGCCCCAGTTTTGTAGTCTTTGTCCTGTGCCTGGACAGCTTCATTAAGAAGTTGTCCCACTGCACTACTTAAATCCAAGCTTTCAAGAAGTCTCACTGGAGAACAAATCAACATACTGCCAGAAATACTTTCATCCACAATAAATTTGGATGATTTCACTGGTCCTAAAAGGGTCCTTCCAGTAGCTGCCAAAGCGGAGAGCTGCTGCAGTCCAGCATGCCTCTTTCTGTTCACACTTCTGATGGCCATGATCCCAAGGCATCTGCAAATGAAACATAGACTTAATGCTTCTGTCCTTCATTGTCTTCCAGCTCTTACTTCATTCATTCCACACAGCTAAAACCAACTTTTAATGCCCCCAGTAGGGCTACTAGTCACCCACTTTCCTGAAATAAATTAAATTCTATGCCCCTCACAAACAGGGTACTGTGATACGTTCATACAATGGATAACCAAAATGGCAGCACCAGAATTATTTATTTATTATTTATTTAAAACTTTGGTATACCATTCACTACCAAATGGTCTTGGGATAGTTTTACAATAAAACAAAGTGGAGCACAGCATCCATTCAATACAATAAAACCCACTTAAAATATCAATCTTAAAATACTGGGAAAATAAAAAAGTTTTGGCCTGGCACTGAAAAAAAATAAAGTGTCAACACCAGGCAAACCTCTCTGGGGAGTGTATTCCACAACTGCAGAGAAGGCCCTTCTCTTAAGGATGCTAAAAACAGACACATCCATTCCTGGAGGAATTTATTTTGAAGATAACTGGAGGAAGGACAGGAGGGAAGGCTACATTTCATTCCAAGAAATGGGGAAAAGAAGCATTATCTAATACAGTAAACTCTGCAGGGGAAACATATTTCCAGCTTCACTGAGCCCTCCATTTGGGCATACTCATGGGTAGCTGCTGAGGCTCCAGAGCCACCTTCTGTAAGGTTTGGTACCTCAGGGAAGGGACTGCTCTGTGCCATTTACTACTCCCCTAAATTAAAACCAGACAGCAGGAACCATGTACATAGTTGTTGATTTGCCCATAAAAGCAGGGAAGTCATGACTACAAGGTACAGGAGGGGCACTGATAAACTTGTAGTTGCCACACAGCACAGAGAGGCCACATGGGACTGAGCAAGCAAGAGGAGGGGGAAGAAGCTGTTCCTACCTTAGCCGACTCATTTACTCTTTCCTGGGGTCAAGTGGGAGAGAATCAGAAGTCAGTAGGGATGTCAAGAGAAAGCACAGGAATAGTGGAAGGCAGTAGCTGTTCCTTCCAGAAGTAAGTGCTATCATCTCTTGCCTTAGCACTCTCTTTGTCTGGTAGCACAAGGGGAGAGAATTCAGCCCTGTAGTACTGCCACAACTCAGTCATTTTATCTCTGTCACTGGGGCAGCAGCACCACAGGGACAACTGGGCTTCCCAATCACTGACGCACTCTGAGGAAGATAGTAGATATAGAGCAGCCACAACTGCCTTATCCTGTTCATCACTTATCTGGGGATGTAGTAGAGAATGGAAACTGGCCCAAGTGCGCCTGACTCTCCTACTCTATACCACCTGGCCCAGAATGAAAGGGATGGAAAACAGGGAAAGATATAAAGCACTCATGGCTAGCTGGCTGATTCAAGGTGGACTTGCTGGCTTTTCCACTGCCAAAAGGAGGGTGTAAATGGATAGGGTTAGGGTTAGTCTCCCTGAAACTGTATGTGAGCTGCCACTTCTGCCCACTCTCTTGGTGAAGAATTGGCGGGGGGGGGGTGCCTGAAAAGCATATTGCAACAGTTTCAGGTATGTTAGAACTAGCCTTAAAAACATTACCTGCTGAATTCTAGTTCCCTTCTGATAGTAGCTCCCACGTACTGACCCTAACTGTGAAGCAGCCACCTCCAACCCCACCCCAGGATACCAACTTCTCTTGCTTCTCTTTGAGCAGGATGGGTGCTCGCTCCCGCTTTTCGTGCAACGGAAAAATTCTCGTCAATATCCGCATCGGAAACTCATTCACCTTATACTGAGCATGCGCCCAGGAACCGAGCATGCTCAGTGACGTCTACTGAAGCCCCTACCCTTACGCTAGCCTAGGCTGGGATGCCCAGTTAGCTCACTGTTGCGTGTGTGCATTCAAAACAGAAAAGCGGCGGGAGAAAGGATGCAGCCGAAGACACTATATAGTGCCCGCGACAGTACAAGGAAGGGCGTATACCGTGTCGTCAAACAGTTCCTGGTATCAGTTTTCAAATATTCGCCGCTCGTTGGAAGCAGACGATGAAGGCCTCATTCTGCCACGGCAACGCCAAGATCGAATCACTAGGATTGGAAGTTGCTACCCGCTGCCAGGGCTCATAACTTGTGGCTCAAACCTGCCATGAAATCACCTCACAGGCCAAAGCCAGTGTGCGACTGTATGTGGAATCACTGGAGTTACTGACCGGTAGACTCAGGAGACTCTTAACATCGTGCATGACCTACCTTTTCTGTCCCGTTTCCCGCCTGGTTTTGTTCCAGAGGTTGTTCCCAAGAATCCGCCCGCTTTATTGGTCGCGACTGTGCCTTTTTGGTTATTGTTAACGACCGAACTCGAACTCTTCGGATTTTGGACGGTGAGAAACACCCTGCAGGTGCTCCAAGGCACATACATTATTTAGGGCTGATTCTCCCGGCATAAATGATTAGACTCTGCTGAGCAATTCCCACTACACATTTGCTGCAGGCCTGCCACAAAACAGGAAGAACCATGTTGGCCACAAACTCAGGGACTCAACCATTCCGACACCCTCCGTATGGAGCACTGGTTGCCAAGACACCGACGCTTCTGTTTGTGTATCCAACCGAAACAGCAACATGGCGCGTGTATGACGTTAAACACCCTTCCCTGGAGTCGCATTGCGCGATTGGTCTTGGCTTGAAAAGAAGGCGGGGCCACGCGGCATCCCTTCTGCCATTGGGCATTCTGGGCTTTAAAGGGCGGAACATACTCGGTGAATACAGGTGCTCCAGGTTTGGTATTGCGAGGGTCGGTTCGTGTTAAGCGAGCCAAGGGGCAATATTTACATAATGGTGAGTGCGTTAGTGTGTTTCCGTCGCTTGCTCTTTATGAGGTTAAAACGGCATCTGTTCTTGACTGAGGTCTGGGCTATGAAGATCAGATCTGGTAGATCCGTATCTGTAATTCAAGCCGCTCCTCCCAGCCCAGGTTCATTGAAATAATCTGCTCTGTTTCGTTTCAGCGATTATTGATCCATAGTCCAACAAAGCGCGCTCAAATCCATCCTTAGCAGTGGATTTAGAGCAAATTTTGCAAAAGGACAGAAGATTCATACTTTCTGAAGAGAAACCAGAGTATCTTGTACTAACTGGTATTATGAGTTCACTTTGCACTGAATCTAATGTATCTTTCCCCGCGTTAAAATTTTTTCTTGTTGCCGTGATTGGGGCGCATAAAGTAGTTGTGCGGCTCGACCTTAAAACATGTATATTAGGAATGAAGTCACGTTGTATACACAGAGCTGTTTGTTTAATTAATACGCTTAGGATACAGCCGTATGTACCTTTTTCGAAAAAAGTCGTCCACTTCCCAGCGTCCACCGGTCAACCATAATGACTAGGGAATGTTGGATGTCGAACTTTTCTTGCCGAAGCCTGCATACGATTGCACTCTTTAGACCGTTGTAATTCATATTTGAGCCCCGACTTCTCCCTAAGTTGGGAAGCAGCTTTTTCATAGGGGGTTATGGAGGTTTATATGGGCATTATTTCAAGAGGCACCACTCTTAAATTCGGATGGGTTAAGGCTACATTTCTGTCCATATTTATTCAGGCACCCTATTAAGTTGTAGAGAAATCATGCATGCATGCAGAGAAAACAGTCTGCACGCCTACAATTCTAAGCATGCTTATTTGGGAGCAAGCCCCATTCAGTTGAGTTGGACTGCCATCTGATCCAGCAAACATTTGGACAACAGAATCTCCCCCACTCTGGCTCAGTGTATGGAAGAGAGAAAGTTAGACTGCTTGTTTCCATGTGGGATAGAATATCCAAATGGTGACACACCGTTCAGAGTTTATAGGAAGAAACTGAGTGGTAGATTTTCTGTTTTGACTAGGAAATATTGTGGATTGATGTATATGTGTGCTGATGACTCAGAAGACATGTCACATAAATAATAAGTTCTGTAATCTTTATGTACTTTGTGAGGCCTATGTAAGCAAGATCCACTTTGGCAAAAAAAACAAAACTGTAACTGCCTCCCTCTCACTGCCCGCCGCTACATCTGTTTCCCTCCTCCCCACAGCCTGTATGTACAAGTCCTCCCCTGCCCCTTTCTATGCCTGCCTAGTCCTTCTTTTTCCCACACTGTTATGCAGGAAAACCAACCTCTGAAAAGCTGTGTTGGCCAGAAAAGGAGCTAACACCACTCCTCAATGGTGGCTCTGCCCAAATACCTCTCACTGCCTGACTGAGTCAGTAATTGTGGGAGGTGTCTCTGGAAATTGCCATGCTACCAGCTCTTTCCACCATGTATGCCTTTCAGTTAGGATCCCTCAGAGCCAAGCATTGAGTTATTGCCTCCTCTCTGCTTTCACCATTAACAGTAACTACCCTGTATCAACACCTTGAATGTTGCTAAATAGCAGTCAGTGAAACCCTCCTTCACAACTTTGCTTCTTACTCAATTTGGCAAATCAAATACACATAAAAACATTTCTGTAATCCATGACAAAAATAACATTTCTTATTTTTCACTTGTACAATGGAAGGCATCTGTTTATAAAAGACCAGGCATGGGGGCTTCCCAGCGAAGGAGAAGTGGATTGAAACAGGAATTGTCTGAAGAGCAAAAGCAGGAAATCAGGGAAGCTTTCGATTTGTTTGATACTGATGGATCTGGCAGCATTGATGTTAAGGAATTGAAGGTATGTAGGTATTTATTTAAAGTGAAAGGCAGAACAATTGTATGGGCCCCTGGGGAAACAGCTTGGGGATTACAGCTATGACCTTAGGAGTTGGAATCTGACATTCCCTCTGTGGAAAGAACTGCAACAGCTGTTTGGAGTCTTTCCAAGCTCTTAAGAATGAACCCAAGTGGCCTTGTAGAGGTCAAAAAGTTTTGAGGAGGGGAGAGGTCAGGATCCCATGATCTTGTCCTTACCCACTACAAGCAAATGAGTAAGGCAGGTTTTAGAGACCGATCTGATTTTTTTTTTTTTTTAAACCAAAAAATGGAGTCAAAATCATATCCATCATCCTGCTGCTCTGCCTGGTTCTTGTTGGCAGGGCACAGTAAGGAACACAGTGATCTGTCTTGAGCTGAGTCTTAACTCCCTTAATCTGGTTTGAGTTTTCTTTTGGTTCTTTCACTCTTCCCTTGCAAATCCAAAATATTACCTAATGGGCACCATCAGAACTGGCTTGCTATCTGAAATGCAAAAATAAAGTTAAAGCTGTTGCCTAGATTCCTTTTGAAGAATCCCATTCCTGCTGCTGTCAAAGCAGCTGCAATACTAGAAACTGCAAGGAATTCATATGAACGTATTTTTGGCATTATGAAAATGATGTAGCAATTTTCTTTATGTGAACTGTAGAATGAATTTTATAGCTTAAATCTACGTTCTTTAACTTGCATATTTTACGAGATGATTTGGGATGATTTCATGCTTGCCTCTTAAAAAGCAAGTCATCCTCCTGATCCTGGACTGCCTTTATTTTCCTGTATGAACATGCAGTACACTTCAAATAGTCTCATTATAGTACCTTGCAGAAATCTTCACTGCCTTTTGACTTCTCCAGAGTTTGTTGTGTTACAACCTGTGATTGAAATACATTTAATTGGTATTATCAATTGAGGTATATAAATTGCTCGACACTGTGAGAATGCAAAATATTTTTACTTTCTTGGTCACAAAACTTTCCAGGTTGTGATTCTTCTTTGGATTTCCATGTGTAATATTGCATGTATAAAAGTGGTACTCTGCATGTTTATTGCAGGTTGCAATGCGTGCTCTTGGGTTTGAACCAAAGAAGGAAGAAATTAGAACAATGATAGCAGATATTGGAAAAGAAGGAAGTAGCACCATAGACTTTGAAGACTTTTTGACTATGATGACCAAAAAAATGGTAAAATGTGGTAGCATATGATTTGCTTTTGTATAGTTGGAAATGTGAATTGGAGCTTGCTTCATTTTGCCTTTCCCCCCTCTTTTTGCAAGAGTGAAAAAGATAGCAAAGAAGAAATCATGAAGGCCTTCCGCTTGTTTGATGATGATGGTACAGGCAAGATTTCTTTTAAAAATCTGAAGAGAGTCTCTAAAGAACTTGGAGAAAATCTAACTGATGAAGAACTGCAGGTTAATTTTTTGATTTATTAAGGGCACATTCTATACATGCTTAGTGAAAATTCTTTTTTTTTTCACTCACTCACTCTCATTTGTTAATTATTTTGTTATATGACCAGAAAAATAAACTAGCAATGTGAACACAATATTCACAAGACCAGTAAATAAAACAGCACTATAAACATGGTAATATATAGGTTGTTGTTAGTTGCAAAGTCGTGTCTGACCCATCGCAACCCCATGGACAACATTCCTCCAGGCCTTCCCTTCTTCCACCATCTGCCGGAGCCCACTCAAGCTTACACCAACTGCTTCAGTGACTCCATCTAGCCACCTCATTCTCTGCCATACCTTTCTTTTGCCATCTATTGTTCCCAGCATTAGGCTCTTCTCCAGGAAGTCCTTCCTTCTCATTAGATGGCCAAAGTATTTGAGTTTCATCTTCACTATCTGGCCTTCTAAAGAGCAGTCAGGGTTGATCTCCTCTAGGACTGACTGGTTTGATCGCCTTGCGGTCCAAGGGACTCGCAGGAGTCTCCTCCAGCACCACAATTCAAAGGCCTCAATCCTTCGGCGCTCAGCCTTCCTTATGGTCCAGCTTTCACAGCTATACATTGCAACTGGGAAAACCATAGCCTTGACTATACACACTTTTGTTGGCAGGGTGATGTCTCTGCTTTTTAGTATGCTGTCTAGATTTGCCATAGCTTTCCTCCCAAGGAGCAAGCGTCTTTTAATTTCTTGGCTGCAGTCCCCATCTGCAGTGACCTTGGAGCCCAGGAAAATAAAATCTGTCACTACCTCCATTTCTTCCCCATCTATTTGCCAGGAAGTGAGAGGACCAGATGCCATGATCTTAGTTTTCTTAATGTTGAGTTTCAAGCCAACTTTTGCACTCTCCTCCTTCACCCGCATCAAGAGGCTCTTTAGTTCCTCTGCACTTTCTGCCATGAGAGTGGTATCATCTGCATATCTGAGGTTGTTGATATTTCTCCCAGCAATCTTAATTCCAGCTGGTGATTCCTCTAGCCCCGCCTTTCTCATGATGTGCTCTGCATATAAGTTAAATAGGCAGGGCGACAGTATACAGCCTTGCCGAACTCCTTTCTCGATACTGAACCAATCAGTGGTTCCGTGTCCAGTTCTCACTGTTGCTTCTTGACCCACATACAGGTTTCTCAAGAGACAAATAAGATGGTCTGGTACTCCCATCTTTTTAAGAACTTGCCACAATTTGTTGTGATCCACACAATCGAAGGCTTTAGCATAGTCAATGAAGCAAAAGTAGATGTTTTTCTGGAACTCCCTAGCTTTCTCCATGATCCAGCGTATGTTGGCAATTTGATCTCTAGTTCCTCTCCCTCTTCGAAATCCTGCCTGTACTTCTGGTAGTTCTCGGTCCACATATTGCTGGAGCCTAGGTTGTAGGATTTTGAACATAACTTTGCTAGCATGTGAAATGAGTGCAATGGTGCGGTAGTTTGAACATTCTTTGGCATTGCCCTTCTTTGGGATCGGAATGTAAACTGACCTTTTCCAATCCTGTGGCCACTGTTGAATTTTCCAAACTTGCTGGCATATTGAGTGTACCAATTTTACTGCATCATCTTTTAAGATTTTGAATAGCTCAGCTGGAATACTGTCGCCTCCACTAGCTTTGTTGTTGCTCAGACTTGCTAAGGCCCACTTGACTTCACATTCCAGGATATCTGGCTCGAGGTCAGTGACCACCCCATTGTGGTTATCAGGGACGTTAAGCTCTTTCTTGTATAGTTCTTCTGTGTAATCTTGCCACCTCTTCTTAATCTCTTCTGCCTCTGTTAGGTCCCTGCAATTTTGGTCCTTTATCATGCCCATCTTTGCATGAAACATTCCCTTCATATCTCCAATTTTCTTGAAGAGATATCTGGTCCTCCCTATTCTATTGTTTTCTGTTTCTTTGCACTGTTCATTTAAGAAGGCATTCTTATCTAGCTATTCTCTGAAATTCTGCATTCAGTTGTTTGTATCTTTCTCCCTTGCCTTTTGCTTCCCTTCTTTCCTCAGCTATTTGTAAAGCTTCCTCAGACAGCCATTTTTCTTTCTTGCATTTCTTTTTCTTTGGGATGGTTTTAGGTAGTGACAGCTAATTTTAAGTACAGCTAAATAAAAAGGGTATACTTATCCCACTCAATAGTGTATAATTTTACAATTTAGAGTATTATTCAGAAATTGATGTCTTTCCATGCTGACAGGCAATTGCAACAGCACACAATCTGGCAGTTGGCCAAAAGACAGTCTGTATAGAACATGTCAGATCCCCCAGGTATTCCTTGCAAAACAGGAACAATGGAAATGTGCTGGAACTCACAAAAGAAAGATCAGTACTAGAGATCATGGCCCATGGTCTTTACCATTCCAACTTCACAAAAGCATAGGTGCTCAAAGTATGACATGCTATTATATCTTCCTCCAAGAATGCAGAAGACATTAAATGTTGCCAATATGAATGTTCTTAACTATTTTGGGATAATTAAAGTACTTGGGTAAGTTGCAGGTAAAGAAGCTTACCCCCTTGGTAAATTTTGGCTCTAATGTAGTTACTCTTATATGGTTTTGTAGCTCAGTATCCCTAATGCACTGGCATACATTTTCTTTAGCTTCTGTATGGCCCAGGGCCAGGATAGCATTTGGGGGAAAACTGAAGTTGCCCAATTTCTTTGCCACAGCCCTTTTACTGAAAAATATAATCTATGGTAAAAGGGCCAAACCTTGGGGTCAAATAACATTTTAAAATAGAAATTTAATTGATACACTCAGGCCTAGTATTTGACTGATGTTTGACTGAAGTTTGTCTTTAAATACAAGGGCACATTAGGCACACGACTCAGAAGGCCAAGGATATTTCTAAGGAATTTTGCTTGAATAGATTATCTGGCAGCCAAAATATAAAATGCACACTGTAAAACAGTCGTGATAGTACAACAGCAGAAAAAACACAATGCTGATAGTATGTGCTGTCTTCCTTTGGCACAGGAAGAGAGAGAGATTAGTGCTTTATTGCTTTTCTGTGTGTTTGCAATAGTATTAAAATTTTGGCCTATCCAAGGGCTCAGTGACTGAAAAACTCCCCAAAATTTATCCATTTATCTACCAACAAAGTCTATTTGTTGGTAGTTTAGTTTAGTAATGATCAAAAATAGAGATTTTTGATCATAACTAACTATACCAGAACTAAAGCTTTAGTTTAATCATCAGCTTTTCAGTTTATAGTAAGTGTCCAAAGCTTTTAATAACTGGCTTAGGGCAATGCATGTCAGGGAGAAGAGTACTCGGCATCTGCAAATAATAAGATAGGAAAATATCTATATGCAAACTTGAGAGAATGGGAATGTATCTCAGTAAGTCTTTTGAACTGCAAATTGATACAGATGTTATAAGCAAGAACATATTCCTAATTAATGCCAATATGAATTGCGTTGGTATGGTCAAGTGGCCTGCAACCAGATTTTATTACATAGGTAATTGTTACTTCTTATTCATAGCCTATCAATGTTAGTAGCCTCAATTTTTGCCATAACATATTTGTTAATTTTACTTTATATATACCACTTCATTCCCATAAGTTCTGGACAGTTTACAGGAAATTAAAACCAACAATAATTAAAATTTGACTAAAAACAAACAATAAAACCAATTTGGGACTAATCTGGAAGGCCTGTCAGAAGAGATGCATCTTTATCTCCCTCTTGAAGGTAGCTAACTGGGATATCAGACACATCTCTGCTGGCAGACCATTCCACAGTTTAGGGGCACCCACAGAGAAAGTCGAAAGCAAACTTCAGAAGATTATCTCCAGAAGACCTTGGCAGGTGAGGCGCTTTATTTATTTATTTATTTATTTATTTATTTATTTAGTAAGCTGCTATGCTGCCCCATTCACCAAAGCCTCGGGGCGGCTCACAATAAATAAATAATCACAATATAAAAACAATATAATTTGAGTCAACCTGGCCAAAGAATAAAATAAATAATATTAACAATTATAATAACACTTAAATAAAAAGGACTTTGCCTGGCGCCGAAAAACAAATAACGACGGCTCCAGGCAGACCTCTCTGAGGAGCGCATTCCATAGATGGACAAAGGTGCTCCTGAAGGTATTTTGGATCCTAGCTATGAAGGGTTTTAAAGGTTATCAACACCCTTGCACTGTATCTAGAAACATTGGCAGCCAATATGTAGTAGTGATATGTAGTATCTCCATGATGTTCCAGAGATCAACCTAGCTGCCATATTTTGTACTAGGACTGAACTGAAAGCAAACTTGGAGGCAATAAAAGCTGGGTAAATTCCCCCCCTCCCCGCAACTAAATCTTGTAATACAGTCCCTGCTCGACTGGAAAGCACCCTTGCCTAAAGCCTGCCTGTTCTTCCAAGAGATTGTTCTTCTCTATTCACTTGTGAGTTTCTTAATTGGGTGACTAGCAAACAACTTACTAACCTTACTCAGTGAACTGACTGGCCTTATAATTTGCAGCATCCACTCTAGTCCCTTTTTGTTTATCTGGATAATGGAGGCAAGGCTGCAGTCCTCTGGTGTAAGGCACTGATACTAAAACCACTAGGAATGGGGCCCGCTACTCCATGTTGGCCTTATGCAACTTGGGCAGAATATTATCATTCCTAGGTGTCTAGTTTAAGTTTAGAGAAGAAAATGATGCTCCAGTTGCTCTTCTTGCAAACAGATCACTTAATTATGGTTCCCAGGTCTTGACAGTGCTATGAGAATCCATTTTATTTAGTTTACTTTGCCAGCCACTGGAGAAGACAGCTGTGTTATGTGCCCTCAAAGCAGCAATTAAATTCTACCAACCTTCTGTCTATTCCCTATTTCTTTTCTCCTTTATTCCTTTATTAGGTTTTAATGCTACGTCAAGATTGACTGCTCAGGAGGCAAACTCAGTTTCCTGTATTTATTTATCAACTATTATCAATGTATTAATGTATATCAACTATTAAAATTTCTTCATATCCATACATTATTGGTCAAACCAAGATTTGGATGTACAAAGAGAGGCATGCTGTTCCATAGGGATAAGTTAAGTGCGTTTGAAAAGATACAACCATTTCTTGGTACAAGATTAAAATATTTTGTGGGACAGGAGAACCCCACAGTTGACCAAGTACCCTTTGTCTAAACCATTTTTCTGAGTATAACAACAAAGAAGTTATACTCTAACTTGGCAATCTATCTTTTATATAAGATTCTAATTTCATATTTTAAGTAAAAGAGTTTATGATCCATATGAACATCCTGGTTGTCAGTGTTTAAGAATGAAATTAGAGGGAGATTGTGACCCTCACTCTCTAAGCTCATCCTGCAACTAACTGTTTCTGGAAAAAAAAGTATGGAAAACTATAAATAGTCTCTGATTTATGTTCCAGAATCTGATAAAAATGTGAATTCATCCTGCCTCTCCCCATTTATGTTTTCACTCAGTATCACCAGACCTAAGCCATTTATAATAGACACAGCCTAGAATGGGTGCAACCCTTCTCTTTAGACTGCTTGTCTGGTATTGGATAGGCCACCTCTGTTTCAGGAAGTTACTCACTGAAGTGGCAGTAAAGAGCGTTATTGTTCTGGCATTAAATTCCAGCTTCACGCAACATTAGAATTGTTGCAGTGAGAAGCAGCATCTTTATATTAATTGTCCAGAGATTGTAGAGTGCGCTTGTCCCTGAGAGTCATAATTCTTGGCCATCTAATAAATGTAATCTGTTCTGTTTTTACTTTAGTTCAGCGGGCTAGTTTTGCTATGAATGTTTTTTCTGTTTAATGCCGAGTTCCTTTATTTCTTACTGTATACCGCTTTGAATACTAAGCGGTTAATGTTGGTTTTTCTTTCCGTTGACTTGAATTGTAAAGATAGCTAACAAAGCAGAAATAAACAAAACAAGGGAAAAGCAAAGCATTGAAACATAAATCAATCCAATAAAGATGTAGATTAAAGCCACAAAAAAGATCTGAAATATTGCTACCTTGTAAACAGGATGGAGTTGCTTGGCCCTAAAATAAATGATGACAATAGTTCCAGGTGAACATGTCTTCAGAGGCTCATTACTGGGCTGTCACTACAGAAAAGGACATCCAGTAGCCACCTGCCTAACCCCTGAAGGTAGATGGCTACAGCAGAACATCCTCATCAGAAAACCATTTAAGAAAATACGTGTTCTTCAGTAATGCTCCTCCCAGATAATCAAAATACACTAATAGAAATTACATAGGACCTTTAACAATGTGTTGTAGCATGGGGTGCCCCTTTTCAGTGTAGTAATTTATTCCTCCCACCCCATTTTTCTGTTTCCCTCACAAACAGTGCACAACTTTCCATGACCTATAAGCATACAGTGAGATGTACTGGGGGTCTCTTCCTCTGTGTTGTGTATTTCTACGGAGTTTTTGCATTTCTGTAAAACAAATAGCTCCTCTTTATCTGTAGAAGGTGCTATTTTGGCTGCATCAGGATAGGCACTCCACTGAAAAAGCGAGTTTACTAATCTTAAATGGGTCACCTTTTTATCAAGCATTTCAAGTTTATCTGTTAGAATTGTTAACATATTGGATGTTTCAAGAATGGTGTTAAATCTTTAGTTCCTTTCTTTCTATAGGAAATGATAGATGAAGCTGATCGTGATGGAGATGGAGAAATAAATGAGCAAGAATTTTTAAGAATTATGAAAAAGACCAGTCTGTATTAATGGCGATACCTTTAAATGTAACCAGCAAAGACTTAAATATTTCACCATTTCTTGCTGTTTTATGACACTGGAAGAGGACAACAGGTTCAAGTGACATGGGAGGGATTATTTTTTAAATGAAAGGCTCAAAATTGGTTTCTGGACAGCTTTTTGGTATACATAAAGTCTGTTTTTCTTTTGTATCTGTGGTGTTTGTCAGTGGTACAAAGGCCTATATGCCAAAGCAATCATTTCCTTGTGACTACTGTTTGTGTGGCACAGTCACAAGGAATAATCCAGGTGACTGAATTTGTGATGTTTTAGGACGAGGCATCCTAAAAAACTGAAGGCAAGGACTTTGTCACATTGAACTGCACAAAAATCCCTACATCTCACTAAAAATGTCAGTATATGAATGCTTTATTTAGTTCCTTTTCTGAGGATAGAACCTGATGCCTATTGTAATTGAAGGGAACTTCAGAAGTTAGACTGCTAGAGATACATACTAGTTTCACTTGATTTTTTTTTATATAATAATGAACCCTAAATACATCCTATATGATGATTTTAACGTTGCACAATTTTCAATAAAGCAGCATCGTGTTGTATTTTGGAATTCTCTTTAATGTAGAAAATTATTTTTTGAAGATGGGAGACAGGTGTTTATATAATTTTATAAACTGTTAATTTCATCAACTACCCACAATGGCTTTTTAAAATTTCATTTCTATAGCACCCAATAGCAGAAGCTGTCTTGGGTGGTTATCAACATTCAAATACAAAAGATACAATAAAAATAGAACATTAAAATACAGCATGAAATTCCAATGTGCAAATTCAAAAAAGCTCGAGTCCAATAGTCAAAAATATAAAATAGCTTAACCTCTAAAACAATTGCAGTTTAAAACAGACCTAATTAAAGTAGGAGACACAACCCATCATATGCCATTAAAAGCCTGGGAACAGGCTGAAAAGATGACCGTGTCAGGTGGTCTTCGGTAGGGAGACCATTCCACCACTGAAAAGGCCCCCTTCCTTGTTGCTTCATTGCTTCTTTCTGGTCCTCCCTTGGAGGTGGCAGTCAGAGGAAGGTTCCAGGTGAAGATCATAGGGTCTGGGAAGATTAGGTTGGGAGAAGTGTTCCATTATGTATTGAAGTCCCAAGCTGTGTAGGGCTTTATAGGGTAAAACTAGCATGCAGAATTGTGCTAGGTAGTCAATGCAAGTGAGCCAGAAGTGGTGTTTTGTTTGGACCTTCGTTCCAGTTATTAATTTGGCTGCCACCTTTTGCACAAGCTGCAGTTTTCAAACATTCTGCAAGGGCAGCCCCACATAGAGAAGATTGCAGTAATCTAACTTGGAGATTATCAAAATGTAGATAAAATGGTACTACTCCTATCCAGATACAGGCAAAGCTGACAGAGGGCCCTCTGTGCCACTAAGTCCACCTGAGCCTCAAGTGACAGAGCAAGGAGCATCCCCCAACCTATGAACCTGCTCCTTTAGGAGGAGTGCAACTCCATCCAGAACAGGATAAAAACAAACCTTCCAGTCAGAGGGACCACCTACCGAAAGCATTTTATTCTTGCTGAGATTGAGCTTCATGTTATTAGCCCTCATCCAGTCTACTATTGCAGCAAGAAACTGTTTAGCACATCCACAGCTTCACCTGATGAGGATGTAAAGGAGAACGAGAAAGCTGCATAACTTAAACTCCAGATAAATCCACCCAGTGATTCCCTGTAGATGTTAAATAGCATAGAGACCAACCCCTGAGGAGCCTCAGAGTGAAGTATCCATGGGGCCAAGCAATATTCCCCAAGTACCACCCTCTGCAGCCAGCCATCGAAATAGGAGCAGAACCAGGGCAGTGCAGTACCTCCCATTCTCAACCAAGACAATTGCTCCAGAAGGATACCATGGTGAATGGTATCAAAAGCTGTTGAGAGTCCAGGAGTATCAATGGGCTCACTCCCTTTGACTTTCTCATGACACAGGTAAACACAAAAAAACAACCAAAGCTGTTTCTGTGCCAAAACCAGGCCTGAACCCTGATTGGATAAGACTGATTATCTGGATTCATTTCAATCAGCCTGGAGCTGCTTGGTCACTACTGGCTCAATAACCTTACCCAAGAAGGGAACATTTGCCATCAGCCTGAAGTTAGGATGTTCTGCATCCAGGGAGGACTTCTTAGGGAGCAGCCTCAGTACCTCAGCACATGACCACATCCTCCCTCTCCCCTAGTCTTGCTCTTTCTATTGATCCCTTTATTGTTTTGCTTTTCTTGATTCCTGTCCATAGGAGTTAAACCATACTATTTACCATACTATCTTGCCCCCGTTTCCAGGTTCACTCCAGCCCATCCTGTATCACCCCTCTGCTTTGCTATTTCTTCCATCTTCCCAGCCTCTAGTCTCACTATTTCATCCTCTCCACACCTCTTTTGACTAGACACATATACCTTGGGAACCATTTTGTAGTGGTGCCCACAGCAGTTTGTCAAAGTCCCAAATAAGTCAACAGGTTGGAGGATGTTTAGGTAGTACAACAGCCTTCACCAGCTTGGTGCCTCCCAGAAGTTTTGGGTTACAATTCACACCTTTTCTGACCATTAACTATGTTTGCTATGGCTGATATGAGTTAAAGGCATAAACACTTGGAGGGCATCCAGTGAAAGAAGTCTAAAGAGACACTTTTACTTTCTGCATTAGTCACCACTACAGAAGGATCAAGGATGGCAGAGATAATTGCAACTGGGGGCAAGCAGGAAATCTGATAATAGAAATGTGAAGGAAAAATGCATTAAAAAACTTCATATGGCAACATGAAGTAGGCATACAGTAAGATGAGCAGTCTGCCAATAGAAGGGGGAGGGGATTTCTAGCAGCCTGGGGCTTTTGGGGACTGATTGTATAAGATTAAAGGAATGCTTTAGAAACATAATTGCCACCTACATTGTTTAAGTTTACGGTAACAATGGAGAACAACTGTGATTTTCTTGAAGTTCCATTTTATTATTCATAGTGAAACTCCCAAAGATTCACCAGGCTTGACAGTTACTTTATCTGTATGCTTTTGGCTCCCTCCGTGAACACTGTTTCATGATCTTAAGTTCTTATTCATGTGCAAAAACAAACCCCCAGATTTCTCCGATGAGATATTGTGTCCTCATTTTTAATTTACTGTATAGTGTTAAAGAAACATTCTACCTACATGCATTTTAATTTACTCAGATTCCTTTGCTCTAGTTCTCATAACATTTTGAAGCCTTACTGTACTTAAACCATTGTCATCAATTTTTCTATTTCTTTGTATTTTATTGGCTGTCTATGATTGGGCAAATCTAGCTTGGTTGTGTCTTTTTTACTCTTTGGTGTGTTTACAACTGTTTTTACACTTACTGCTGCTGGGAAACAAGGAGGTACATTGTCTAACGTTAGATTTTGACTTACAAATTGCGTTTTACACTATGACAACACAACAGGCTTAAGTAATACTATGACTTCCTACAAGCATTGGCACAGCAGACCTGTATTCTCATTTTTAAATTCTTCCTAGTAACCATATGAAAACATTTATTAAGTCCCAGAGGAAATAACTGTATTTAATCCATTAAATGGACTAGTGTTGCCTCTCATTTGAACAGTTAGTATATCTTGACATCTGAAAGTGTAGTTCACAGAGATCAGAAAGCGCAACATGTAAATGTATAGTAAAAGTTAGCTAATGAAAACTTTTAAAATATAGATCAATGTATAGGGAAAAGCTTTATTTATTTATTATTTAGGAGATCTATAGGCCATCCATCACTGTCGTCTCTGCACGGCTTACAGAATATTATGAATCCTAAACAAAATAAATTGGCTATACCACGAACTGAGCATAAAATGTATTAAGCCGCCCCGAGGCTTCGGCGAATGGGGCGGCATAAAAATGTTTTAATAAATAAATAAATACATTGCTCTTGAAGGCTGGCATATAAGGGAACTTGATACATTTTATAATGAAACAGCATTTTTTTAGAAAAACACTTTTGTAAAAACCTAGGAGTACGATCATATGCATTCATCCAGGCTTAAGATTCACTGAACCCAATGGAGCTTATTTCTGAATAGCCAAGCATAAAATTTCATGGGAAGAAAAACGCAATCCTATGTGTGTTCACCAGGCAACTGAGATGCTGGCAAAGCAGGGGAAGCCAAAGAAAATGTCCCCCACTAGGTGGCAGTGATGATTGTTCCCCTTACCTTGAGGTGGATGAATGCCTGCCATTTTAATCCCTCTGCAATGCCTCTAGGACCTTCCTCTGATGTAGGGTCACTTGAGTCACCAAGAAGACTCAGAATGCTAAGAATGTACTGAGGTTAGTGAAGGATGCTAAAAGCAACAAAAAGGCCCTCTACATATTACATGCATAGTAAAAGAAGAAAGAAATGGTGGTTCAACTACTCAATGAGGATGGCAAAATGATAAAAGATGACAAAGAAAAAGTAGAAATGCTCTATTTCTACTTTGGTTCAGTCTTCTTCCAAAACGGGTATATGACCTGGTAAAGTACAATCTGAGCAATATTGACCAGAGTTTGCTGGTGCACTGCTGCCATTGTCTATGAAAGATCCTCCAATAGTGTTGGCTTCAGCTACTGCTGCTGTCCAGTAGCTATCATTAAGGAGTTTCTCTGCTCCCAATACCATTACAAATAGCAATTCTCTTCTGCTGATGTGAGCATTATTCCTGAGGAGGAGGACGCATCTTAGTCTGGTGTCTCAGTTTTGACATTCTGCCTTGAGTGACCCTGCTAAGAGACCAGATAATGAAATAGTTTGGCCTTAATGGCTCTCTTCCGACTTTATTATTCTATGATTCTGTGAGTGACACACCATAGGAGCTGCCGGAACAGTGTAAGGTATTAAAATGGCAGATGCTAGTACCAGTCCTTACTAAGACGGCTAGATCTTTTCCACTGCTTTAGCGATACCGACCTTACTCAAAATAAGTGGAACAGGATGGTGGGCTCTTTGAAAGGCTCAAGGTCACTGCGGGTGCCCACTCACACTAGGCTTAACTGTAAGCAATAAACAGTGGCACCAAAGCAGCAGAAGGTGGGAGGGGGAGAGGAGGAAGAGCAAGAAGCAGACACCAAAAAGGCAGCATTTTCAGCAGCAGCATTTTGGTGTATGGTGGACTATTTCAGCCTCTCTGACAGCTTTATGCTATAATGAACAATGAATGCAAGCACAGTGTTCTTTGGCTGACAGGAGGAAAACTGATGGGATTGAAACATGGTGCTGGAGGAGGGCTTTGCAAATAACGCAGAGTGACAGAAAGACGAACAAGTGGTTCCAAGATCAAATCAAGCCAGAGCTTTTCCTATGGGCAAAAATGAAGGCTGAAAAAAAGGATACTTTTGGAAATTTGAAAAAAAAAGCTCATCTTCAGAGCCATTCCCCACCTGTTCTCAGCTGTGAAACACACTATTCTTCTGCTAATAGATGCAGGTTTGAAAAGTGGCAGAAGTGCAATAGAAGATAATTTGTAACCCACCCAGGGAGACGTGGCTAATGAAGTGGGCTAGAAGTGAAATAATAAATAATTTCCCCTCCTCAGCACTGCAGTGTATTGATGGGCAGTGTGCTGGGATAGGAGAACTCAGTGGCCCAGGGATGATATAGGGAAGACTGGGCCATAGGCTGTGCTACTTCTCAGAATTGTCTTTGCTATCTGGTTGTGCTAGTACTTGGTGGCACAGAAAGAGGGAGAGGAACTCCCACCCCAATATGTGCCATTGCTTGCATTTATCATACCTACAAGGGCGGCTTGTTTTATAGTGTATATTTGTATTTTATTGTATATATTTTAAAATGTTATTTTAAATTTTTTGTTGTAAGCCGCCCCGAGGCTTCGGCGAATGGGGCGGCATAAAAATGTTTTAATAAAATAAATAAATAAATAAATAAATAAAATATTTAAAAATAATGTGGAATGAGTTTCAGGGGAGCTGGAAGAGTTTCTGAGAATGAGGATGTGGAAAAACAGCAGGGACTGGCCGGAGGGGGGATTCTTCTCTGCCTCTTGAACTAAGCTGAAGAGTTTGAGGATTTTAAAAATCTGCCTCTCCTTTGGGTCATACTTTTGAAACCCCCACAATTGTTCTGAGTTTGGCTTCTCAGAACTTCATTAACATTTCTAAGCATGGCCCAAGCCTGATGCACTTCCAAATGTGCATCTTACTGAAAGCAATGGAATGTGAATAAGCAGAGCCCAAATACTTAATCTGAATTATGGTTCTTATTTCACAAGTGATACATGCACAGATCACTGCATCAGGCTGATGATTTAGGAATTTGACAAAATATTATTTCAAAATGCTAAGTGACATTTAATCTACCATCTCATTTTGTACATGGAGTTAATTTACTTCATAGTATATTTACTGACAGTTGTTCTAAATCCACAGAATTATGCCCTGGTAATTCCACTGAACAATGCTAAATCACAAAGGTGTACTTTTTCATCCCTGACTACTTATCAGCAGTATATAACCAATTCCAAAGATAACTATTACTTTTGGGGAAAATGTTTCATTCAAATTCATCTTGACATTTATACTAATAGCTGTTCCCATTTAAACTGATTTTTCCCCAGTTATCAAATGGAAAATACCGATAGGAAATAACATACATGCATATATTACTGGCCACTGAACATAGCTGTATTCTTTTTCTTTTAGCTACCGGATGTGTTCTTCCCTTTAAGAAAGTTAAAACTACGACATATTTTTTCTGTGGAAAAAGTTTACTTAGCAAAACTTTGGCCCTTGAATGATGTCATGAGAACTTAACTAAGCAGCAAAAAAATGAAAAAGTCCCCAGATGCAGCACTGCATTTGTCAGACCATTTTCAAGTAAAATGCAACCACGTTGCTAGAATGGCAACCTCAAAATTGCTGTGCAGATTATAATGATGTGAATAGGGAGAGAACGTGATGATGATTAGTTTCATTTATACTTTCTACAGTGAATCATATTTATTGTTTTGTTTTTAGTGGCATGTGGAGATAGGGTGAATCACCTATTTATGAACCATTTCCTATTGCATTTCTATAATCTGCAAAAGTTAGCCTGAAGAAACAACATTAAAGGTTGTAAAACAATTGATTTCCACTTTTTCTTTTCTTAAGCCTCCTGAGCACTTACTCTAGTGCCATCTTATCGTTTTAAAAATCAAATATGCAAAAGCCTCATAATAGGTGGTTTTTTGTTTTTTTGTTTTTTGTTTTTTTGTTTTTGTTCTTTGAAAGCACTCCTTTATGTTAGTTTCTACTAGGTTGAACTATATATAACCCAGTAATGACTAAGCTATAGGAAAAGCATTTCTTCAGTTAAAAATGGGTGGGTGGAGAAACCTGGTTATAATTAAGGGGTCACAAAGCAAGGATAGCTGAAAAGTAAGTAAAAAGGAATAGAACAGGGAGGAATGAAATGAGTTGTCAGAGGGTTCTAGAATTCCATTCAATGGAATTTAAGTTTAAAGTATGCAAACGGTTGACTCAGCATGTTCTTAAGGTACATGTTAGAAAAAAAACAAATGTTAGCTTATGTTGGATCAGGAATATGCAGTACTTAACTTTACAGGATGCTCAGTTTAATGTCCAGCCCAGGGAGTCTCAGCTGGTAGCAACTCAGCTGTTATTCCAGCAGCAGGAAAAGACAATTGCAGTTAGCTGTGTCAGAACTTTTTACTGGCCATGAAGTGTTTATATTCTTTTCTATGCTGTTCTAAGTTATTACGTTTAAGACCTGCTTTACTCTTATTTATTGTTGGTATTCTTGTTTAGGTACTATAAGCCACTCTGGGAATTACAGAAACACAAATCTTTGTGTAAGTGCTTAATAATTCAAATCATAAAGGCAAACATCTAGTCACATACCTTTTTGTTCATTCAGGCCTTTTAAATAACCTAAAACTTCCCCTTGAGCCAGAAGAAAAGTCAGTCTCAAATGTACCTTTCTTGGTTAAGGTACATTGCAATACCAGATTCATCTGGATTATGCTGATTATCTGGACCCATTTCAAACAGTCTTTCAGCCAGGATATGGGACTAAGGCTGCTTTGGTTGCTTATGCTGGGAAGATGATGGGGGGAATAATACTCTATTAGTTAGTTTGCTTATTTATTACACTTTTATACAGCTCAATAGCCAAAAGACTGTCTTTATTAGTAGTTCACCTCTACATCTTAGCAAAATTTGATACAACCAAATTATGGTATTCTTCTGAACTGCTGGTGTAACTGACTTTAGGGGCTGCCATTTTGCAGTGGGTTGGGTCCCTTCTGTTCTTAAGGTAGTACTGGGGAATTACATGGACAATACCCTATCGAGTCCTACAGGGCCCTATCTTGTCCCACAAATCACTTACATGAAATTGCTGGGAGAGATTTTTCAGATGTTTGGAGTAGGATGCCACCGGTATGCCAATGACACACAGTTCTATTGTGCTTTATAAATAACATAAAGTAATGTTGTGACACTTACAAAAGTATGTTTTTATTTTGTTTTAGCATTTGTAAGCCGTCCAGAGAACCTTCAGGTAATGGGGTGGCATAGAAGTGGAAATAAATGAATGAAACTCTTGCACAATGCCTAGTTTCAGTAATAATCTGGATCAGGTTCACTAATGATCTGGATCAACACCACCCAGACAAGATAGAATGGTGCTAGACAGTAGAATGCCTAATTCTGAGATTGTGATTCAA